CTGTCCCTACATAAGAAGTCCTGACAATAATCGACAACACACACAATTATACAGCTGGTAATACTGTCCCTACATAAGACGTCCTGACAATAAACGACAACACACACACACATCTATACAGCTAGTAATACTGTCCCTACATAAGAAGTCCTGACAATAATCGACAACACACACAACTATACAGCTAATAATACAGTCCCTACATAAGAAGTCCTGACAATAATCGACAACACACACACAATTATACAGCTAGTAATACTGTCCCTGCATAAGAAGTCCTGACAATAATTATTCTGCTTTGGGAAAATCATGTATTATTATTACGAACTTTCTGTGTAATTTAAGGCTTCTTGAGTAAAAGTTCTTGTTTTTATTTTATGATATGATGTAAATGATATAACTTTTTATGAACAAAAATTTATAGCATTATAAATGACTTGTGATAGTGTTTATACTGAAAGTGCATATATGTTTTTATAGTAAATAATGTATACAGGGCTATTCTGCCATTATATAGATCACATGGCTTTAGTTGTCTAATAAACCAAATAAGAAAAGGAGGATATTCATACAAAACAATTGTTTTGTATAAACCTTAAGAGGCTGATTTATGAAGTTTTTTGACAATTGCCTAATACACACGTCAAGCTCAATATTTGATTTACATATGACAAAGTCAACTTGCAAGAAGCCAAATTTTGATTCCCCTTGTTTATAGTAATGGTTCTAGACGTTTGATGGAAAAGGTTTTGGTAAGCCTTGAGACACAAAGGGTCGTACATAAGTGACGTTAACTGTTTTCCGTCCAAGATTGATTAAGATTCAGTTTGCATTCTTGTTTTCTTTATTGGAAATGTTAGTTAAATACCTCGATCATTATAAACCAAGCATGCAAGTTTTTATCTTTGAAAGAATTACTTTGATACTGAATTGGATTTTCAAATAGATAAGTTTGACAACTGACAATGAACAAAAGCCCGCGCGTGTGTCGACGTACTCGGTTCTACAGGGCTATTAAACACGAAGGAAAATACACTGTCACGTTACCATCTGTAAAGACTACTATCAATCTATTTCGCTTGGTTAACAATCGTGAATTTTCGTGTCAGCATAATTAATGACGAAAAGCTCAAGCTGGCGATCTTATCAAGTCTTCTTGTAGGTTACTCGATATCAGTTCACAGTGGATCGGAAACTAATGCCGTCTAGGAGATTCACTTTAACCACAGACGAGAGCTTCTCCTGATATCTTTTGATTTACATCTAGTCCATGTGCTGCTACTTATGCTAAGAATTTTAATCTCGTCATCGCTTTAAGCCGATCATTCAGAGAGTCCGCCGAAAGGTTTCTAGCAACGGTCGGATTCCTTCGTTTTGGTATGGATGATGTTTTTCACGTCCTCTATTCAGCCACTTTGGAAAAGATTTATTGTTTATACTAACCCTTTGCTGTACATGAGTAGTGTCAAATACAAGATTCCTCGAGAAAAGAATAGAAACCGCCAGATGAATTTGGACTTCGTTCCTATTAGAGATCGGTTGTATGTTAGTAAACAAACTTTTAAAGGTGTTGTTTGTCTATTTATATTTTTACCTGTCAGGTAATAGAGTATTATCACTGGTATATAAGTTTGTATCTATTAATGTCCAACAAACTTACCAAATTCTATTTATATTTTACCTGTCAGGTAAAATAGTATTATCACTGGTATATAAGTTTGTATCTATTAATGTCCAACAAACTTACAAAATTATTCAAGAAGTCATCATATTAACTGCATGGGATATCTTAAATATTCTCCTAATTTCCCGATTTTTTACTCCTCTTCTAGGGCTTTTATAGAGTCCAACCGTTTCTTTGATAATTCTCTTAGAGCTTCTGAAGCTTTCATTAAGGAATAAATTAAATTGACTAAAAATCAACAGTACTGTAAGATTTATTCGTGATTAAACAAATTTCCACGATATTTTGAAGCTTGTTTGTTTGTAATTAAGCGCAAAGCTACAAAATGGGCTATCTATGTTTGCCCACCACGGTTATCAAACCCAAATTTTTGGCGTTATAAGTCCACAGACCTATCGCTGAGTCACTGGAGGCTATATTTAGATGTAAGTTAAAGATTTATTATGTGATAAAGGTATGGAAACCGTTATGTTATCTGGTTAATTCGTAACAACTCAAAGATTTGTAAAAATAAAACATTAAAACCCACAACAGGACCATTAAAATATGCATTGCTCTTCAGTTAATTCTTATGCATCTCAAGTATTTACTAACAGAAGTATTTAAATCCTCATTGTTCTTATGTTAATTCTTAAGTTATAACTAGCATCATTCCTTGAGAAAAGATATAATAGATGGAATATTGTAGACCATTATACTGTCGAAGATATAATAGCTGGAAGATTGTAGACCATTATACTGTCGAAGATATAATTGATGGAATATTGTAGGCCATTATACTGTCGAAGATATAATAGATGGAAGATTGT